TGTTCCTCTCCTACTGTCCTTCACAGAGATTGTTCCTCTCCCTCTGTCCTTCACAGAGATTGTTCCTCTCCTACTGTCCTTCACAGAGATTGTTCCTCTCCTACTGTCCTTCATAGAGATTGTTTCTCACCTACTGATCCTCAAAGAGATTGTTTCTCACCTACTCATCCTCATAGAGATTGTTTCTCACCTACTCGTCCTCAAAGAGATTGTTTCTCACCTACTCGTCCTCAAAGAGATTGTTTCTCACCTACTCGTCCTCATAGAGATTGTTCCTCTCCTACTGGTCCTCATAGAGATTGTTCCTCTCCCTCCTTCCCATATTCTTCCAACCTGCAAATAATTTGTTCTACAAAAAAAGCCATTTCTACTAACACCCCAGAGAAAGATCCAGCCCTGAGGTGGATGTGACTGGGAAACTACAACCAAGTAGGTGGACTGGGTCATCTGCTGAGACCTTGAGATAAATTGTGCTAAATGTCAAATAATGTAATACCAGAGGGACCTACATTGTCACCGCTGAGATGTTCAGTGAAAGGGACGTTTCAGTCTCTCCAATTTATACACTGAGAAAAGTGAAATTTGCTAACCTAGCTCCATAAAGATTAACCACATTAACAAGGGACATGTGATCGGGGAGACAGTGTTTGTTTTGCTAATTAGATGCTACGTGTGCTGGAACATTTCTACATTGTATTATATTGTTTTATTGTATTTACAAGGAAAGCTCAGCATAGCTAAGTGTCTGTGTCATACCACAGCCCTCACATGCCATCGAATAGGGGCTATATGTCACAGTTCCGCTGCAGACTTTTGTCAATAGCCCTGTTAGTGTCCTGGGGAACCTGCAGGTACTCACAGACATGTGATCATTGCCTTCATCATCCCGTTGTTGACTAATTCTTGGAAAAATTTTAATTGCTTATCTAGGCAAGTAATTCCTGAACATACAGTCATGGCTAAAAATATTGCCCCCCGGCATTTCTGTCAGATAATGCACCACTTTGTGCAGAAAATTGTTGCAATGACAAATGTTTCGGCATTCTCATGTTTATTTCTCGTGTTTGTATCGGTGACACAAAAAAGTGGAGAAAAAAAAGCCAAATCTGACCCATTCCACGCAAAACTCCAAAAATGGACTGGACAAACTTATTGGCACCCTCAATTAATATTTAGTAGCACAGCCCTTGGTGCTTCTCATAATCTACTTTAGCAGCTCTGATTGCACTCCTGCATTTCTTGTTCCGTCCCACGTAGCCCTTAAAGGAGTTGTAAAGTCCCGGCATATACTCTCCTGTTATAACATCGGCATTGTAATAGGAATACATACTGGAGTTGTTTCTGATGATACAATCAAAGCTTACTCCAAAATGATCCCTTTCATGTAGTGAACGTTGCCTTCGGTCTGCCCATCACTTCCAACAATTTCCTGGATTCCCGGTGTTCTTTGCATCTCTTCCCCTGCTGCTTGACATGATGGAATCAGTGGCGTAACAATCGCTATAGCGACCCAGGCGGCCGCTATGGGTCCCGGGGCACAGGGGGGCCCGGCCAGATGCCGTGCGGGCCACCTGGGTCGCTATGGCATCTTATGCTGGTGGCTTTCACTGGCGGCTGTGAGAAGAATGCTCTGCTGTTTAGATCACTGACAGTTATCTGTGCAGCAGCACATCCTTCTCACAGCCGCTGCGGAGTTAATGAGAGCCAGCGGCGGTGTAGCAGGCTGGACCCGGTGTTCTGTCGACGAGGAGCCGGGGCCCGTGGTCGGCAGCAGAGGAGGAGGTGGGTCCCGGAGACGGAGAAGAAGGCGGGCCCGGCGGCGGAGGAGTAGGCGGGGCCCATCAGCAGGAAGTGCAGGAAGAAGAGGCGGACAGGTAAGGAGTGTGACCAGCCCACCTGGGGGTGACCCTG